ATCAGCTTTAGGTGTAATAATTATTAAATATTTTAATTAGTCATGAACCCAGTGAAAATAAAGAAAAGGAACTAACCTGTGAAACAATTTGATTCAACAGAAAATATTCAAAACGAAAATAATAAAAATAATAATAATAACAAAATTATTTATTTGATGGGTTGTACAACTAATATTTAACTTTGATTTATAAATTAAGAAAGGGTCTAGACAAAATGACCTAAACCCCGGGGTCTAGAATAAATAACCTAAACCCCGGGGTCTAGAATAAATAACCTAAACCCTGGGGTCTAGTTTAAGTTTTCTCAACCATAAATATATAACTCGTTCATGTGATTACTAGTAATAAATTTGTATGTAACATTAATCACCTGATGATGCATAATGTGTTTAAAAGTTCAAGGGCAGATAATTTTCATAAATGAAATTTGGATAAAAAAATGACTTCGTTTTACGACGAAATTGAGATTGGTGCGTTCTATACTTCCATCTCTCTTATTACTCCATGTATCTATAAATTATTAATTTAATTATTCTTTCGTATACGCAGAAGATTTTGAATTTGAAGAAGACAAACAGATCTATCATTATCCCTGTCCTTGTGGAGATCGATTCGAAATCTCAGTGGAAAGTATTTGTTCATAAAATTTTTTAGTGTTATTAATATTTTTTTAACTGATGTTTTTCTTTACTGTAGACTGATTTAATGGATGGAGAAGATATAGCTCGATGTCCAAGTTGTTCTTTAATGGTTCGTGTAATATATGATCTGGTAAGACTTTTTTTTTGTAAATTATTGCTATTTTTTTTATTTTTTTTTATTTTTTTTTTTTGATACGCTTTCTTGTATTAAAAAATATCTTTTACGATTCTTATAGGATGATTTCCAGGATGATAATGATCAAGGAACAACCATTGACCTTGGGAAAGAGTCAATTGCTGTGTAATCCTTTATTTTAACATTTTCCTCTTTTAATAATTTAATTTTTTATTTAATTCCTGTGTGATAAAGTTTGTCAAGTGAAGAGAGAAAAAAATAGATGAATATTGTTGGAAAAAAAGTTTTTTTTAGAAAACAATTTAATACATTTCATTCATTAAATTATTCTTTCATTTTACGCGTCCATTGTTATCCATTATTATTATTTATACTTTATATTTCTAGTAAGGGAGAGAATTTGTGTACGATGTGAAATTGATAATTTTTCTATAGAATTATTATACATTATTTTCAATCAAAAATTAATATTTTATTATTCATAGAGAAAATAAATAGTATTATATGAAAAAATCAAAGATTACTTTATCAATTTAATCTTTTTTTTTATAAATCAATGACGGTATTAAGTCAAAGAATTCCACATGGCATGGTTTCGCGAGTACGTCGCGTGACCACGTGGAAATTGCCAAAGTTTTAAACATTATAGATTTCAAAAAATAAAATTATAATTTTCAATACAATTTATAATTAATTTTATCTACAAACATAATAACCAAAATCCTCTATTAGTCCATTCAACAATTTTATTATATCATATATTAATATTAAATATTTTCACTAAGAATATCTTAATTGATTTCTCTGCCTTGTGGTTACATTTTGCCACCCAATTATTCACAAAAAATATGATTGTTATATAATTCTTTATTTGGCAATACTTTATAAATAAATCACTTTCGATTTCTTGTTATTCACCAATAAACTTTATTTTTAATACAATTTGCATATGAATAGTTAGACGAGTTTATTATTATCGTGAAACAATAATTCCAATTAATAAATAATAATACTAAATTTCCCATCCCATAGACAGTTTCTTATTCTTGCTTTCAGAAACATATTATTCACAATGATAAAATCAAAAGAGAGTTTATTTAGAAACTTCGTTATGAATTATTAAAGTATACGCTATTGCATGATTGTCATTAACTTGAATATAAAACCACTATAATGATGTTGAGGAATTTGTTTAATACTATATACTATAATTCCATAAATCCAAATAGAACTCATTAATTGCTCCATCAGGAACTCCATTAGAACCATGGAAAAGTTCAACAGCAGGAATATGCAATTGGTAATTCATAATACCAGGGACGTTACAAGCGATTGTTGAAAGTAATGTTAGCAAATGGAACATTATTAAAAAGAAACACAATTGTATTATAATGGAGAGGTGATGTGCAAAAAGATATTATGATGTCTTGTATCATATTATTTTGATTTGTACGTTAGGTAGCGCAGTGTCAAGCATTGCCCTTGTACCGTCTTGACGAATGGGAAATATTTTGATTATAAGATAAATTTGAATGATCGTTCGTGGAGAAAAAAAACTTGTCGACGACCAATGTTGTTTACGCTCCCCCCTCTGAGTTAGGTTCCTGGCCAGCTGGAGATGGAGGAGATCCAATGGTCGAATGTTAAGGTCAGCAATATTTGGTCCCACAATAAGATCCTCCATATAATTGATTATTCTAATCAAGTATCAAGAAAGAAATTCCACCCCGAGATCTGAGGGGTACTTCATGAGTTATGATTTTTACATCGACTAAACAAATACTAACAGGGCAGGGAGTTTTCGTTCAGTTTTGCAATACTTGATGTAGACTTCGAGGGACACATTTTAAGCAATGATATTTCTATTTTTTCTTCTTGGAATGCAAGTAAGCGATCCCTGACTTGATTACGGAGCTCTTTGCACAACGCATATGGGACTAAATTGAGTCAGTTGAAACGTCATAACTAGATCCAGTGATATTGGAATGGAAGAAGTACATTTTGCATCCTGTACCTAGGAACTGAACTCGAAGAAGCCGGGTTTGATTTAGTTTTGCATTAATCTAAAATTCCAATAAATTTTCCTCTGGCTTCTGACATGACTGACTGAAATACTGTATCTTAAAGGTTTTAATCGTACAACACAACAACATTCGAATAATAAACTCGTGATGCGATTACCAAATTCGATTAATTCACCTTGGTTTTCAATCTTGGAAACTTGATATATAATTTATTTTATGTAACTTTTTATTTAATTTACTTTTCTAATATTTATAATAGAATCTACTTTTTAAAAGTTAATTTATTAAATAATGTCACGATCTTTATGTGAAAAGGTTGTGTGATGTTATTCATTTCCCTATTTTTGGGAAATAATATGATATGATATGATATGATTTGATATGACATGACATGACATGCATGACATGACGTGACGTAATATGGAGTATAATGCTTCATAAACATTTTTCATTTATTATTATAATATAATAAATATCACGAAGCAAATAAAATCAGCTTCTTAGAGAAGAATGCAAATGTTGAAAAATAACCACAACCTTGACAATTAATAAAATAATTAAAATATTATAAATGTTAAAATAAAAATAATTTATTATTTACATATGAAAAAATAAAACGAGAACGCAAATATCAAAATAATTTAATAACCAATAAAAAGTGAATACAGAAATAATTATGATATAAATATATATTTATATATATTATGTTATATATCCATATTATTCATTCCTTGCAAAATCTCATGAAATTGTATATCATCATGTGTTAAAGTTGTTAATGTTGTTAATATCTGATTATTGTTTGATTCATTTTTCATAATATTATTTATGTTTTTCTCATTAAACACATTAGAAGAAATATTATTATGGATGTCACGATCATCCTTTATTTCTTCATTATATCCATCAATTCTACTAACACCAACATCAACACCATTAATTCCACCATTAATTCCATTTATATTATATGAAAACTGAGATTTATTCTGGCATTCATCATTTTTTTCATAATAATAATTATTATTATTAGGATATTGTGAATTGGAAATAATCATGTCTTTAAATATTTCACCACCATTTTCAGCATCAAAATTTACAATTTCAACGACTGTGGGGGGAGGAATGAAACCTGTTGGGGGTGGACGGGGTAGAAAAGTATTATAATTTAAAGGTAATAATAAATTATCACCATCATCAGTGTTCATGGCATTAAGATGTGAACTATGAGAATAACGTTCATTATTATTATCATTATTTAAATTTGTGGGAGTTGAAGCACCAGATGATAAAGGAGATGGAGAATTAGGAATTAATGAAGATGAAGATGAAGAAGTTGGTTGAATAGAAGTTTGAAGGTATCGATGAGAATGTTGATATTGTTGAAAATAACCATATTGTTCATATTGTTTTTTTGAATCATGAAAATAATTATTAGTTGAAGAAGAAGGAAAATGCACAAATTCTTTTTGATAATGACTTTCAGTTAAAACCAAGGGAGTTATGGGAGTCATTGGACTTGAAATGGGTCGAATAATTGGACTGGGAAATGGACTAACTGATGGGCTTGTGTTAGGAAGTAATATTGATTTAAGTTGTTTAAATTCTAAATGATAAGGTTTAAAGGAAGTATTGCTATTGTTATTATTGTTATTAATGTTGTTATAATTGTCATTATTATTATCGATTACGAGATGAGAAATTTTGGTTTGCAATTTTCGTTCAGGCAATGAACAATTCATTATGATAAAAGTTGTTAATGTCTTTATTTTTTATACGTTATTTACGAAAAAGAAAATAGTTGCTTTGTGATGGTAAACTTATGCAATACTCAGAACACAAAAAAAAAATATTTTATTGGAATAAGACGAGAGAAAATAATTTAATTATCTAGCAAAGAAAAAAAAAGGGTGCACAAATCGTCAATCGAGTAAATAAAGTATTTTTATACTAAATATTTTATAATAATATGTATATAATTTGTTTGTGCTTTTGTTGATGTGGAATTATGATATCATAACTATAAAAATAATGCGGGGCTATGTGCATATTATCAAACCAAAAATCCAACGTTAAAAATTATAGCGTCCCTCCTTTTATTAAAGATCCTCCCTTTATTATATTTATTATTATATGAATGGAATAACTCTCTCCTGAGAAATTTTCCCGATAGAAATTTTTAAATTATATAAATTAAAATCTTTAAATTCATTAATATAAGAGAGATGTTATTTAAGAATTTATCCTTATTCAAAAGATTCCATTACTAAAAACATATTAAGGCGAAAAGATTACTTCATGTGATAAATAAATTAAAATTTGATATTAACCCCGCTCGGTTAAATATATTTCCGAGATATTTTCCGCTATTTATTGGGTGACACGACACGAACAATACTCATTTTGTTATTTTAGAACACTATTTCGCTTTTGGTTAAAAAATAAACAGTTTCTTTCCCAAAGGTACTCATAGACTTTGATATGCAATTCTTATAATGAAAAATTATTTATTTTTTTATTATTTTTATAAGAAAAAATTATTCCTCACTGGGTGAATTTCTCACCTCCATAATCCCCTATAATTGTAATATAGCATCACACCGTGAACTTAGTTTTTTTAAGGTTAGACGGAACCATTGTTTAATATAAAAACATCAAAACGTTAATTTTATATTGTCATGTGTTCTTTATTTTTATCTCAAATCGTTATCTAAATCGATGGACATACTCCAAAGTTGCTTTTTTGATTTTTTTATATTTTTATTATAAATTATCTATCAATAGCGAAACTTTTAAGGCATCAAAGACGCAATTTTGGATCACTTTGCTCGTCCTTAAATGTTCTACACTATGCTCTGAACAAAAACCTTATTTATCACCTGATTATATTTTGGTAATCACATGAAAGAAATTTTACTTGAGTAAAAATAGGGGAATAAGTAATATTTTAGCTAGTCTATGATATAGGAACTTCAATTTTAACTGATTTATAATATAAGAATTACCAATGATTCTTTTGTATTTAACTAGTGATATACACTATTACTAGTTAACCTTTTGAACTAATTCTGTTTTCCAAAAGGAGATTTACAACTAGTAACTTATAAAAAAGAAGAAATATGTTTATAAATTGTAAGAATAAACTAAATAAAATTAAAGAAACAAGAAATAATTTAATTATTAAAACTAATAGAAAGAACTTATGATTTATGTGAACAATTATTAAACTATCAATTTGAAAGATTAAGATAAAGAGTTAAAAGTATTTATCAAGAAATTATAAAGTAGTAGCAAGAATTTAGTAACAAGAATTTAAATTTGAAGAATATAAATTAATATAAAAATAATAGAGTTTAAGTAAAAAGATATAAGTTATTACAAAATTAATTAATAATTTTATTAATTAAAATTAGGATTGTTAAAAATATTAATAATTAATTACAATTTCAATATAATAAGATTATTATCTAAATTACAATTTTAAATCTATCAAATTTATTTTTGAGTGAAAGAAAAACTTACTCTTTTTTTAAGAATTATTTTTGTCAATGTTCTTGTCAATGTTTCTACTAGTGTTCTTGACATTAACCTTAATAATTTTTCTAATAATTATTTTGACAATTAGTTTAACAATCAGTTTGACACTGATTTTGATATTAATCTTTATAGTATTACAGATTTGTGTAATATTAAACTAAATACTATATAAATATAATAAATAATACTAATAAATATATAAATAACAAAATATAATAATTAATAAATAATAAATATCCAATATGTAATTAATATGTGACTAATATTAAAGATAATACTATCTTTATCTGATATTAGATATGTATAGTAATAAGATAGTCCTCTGGTTTGAACCTGAAGACCTGAACTATACATGTTTCCAAAATTGATTTTAGATTTTTGAGGTATTTCGACTTTTTGAGATTTATGCAAAATCTATTCTATATATGGAAGTAAAAAAAGTACCTAGTTATATGTATCTTTAATCAAAGAATAAATCTGGGTGGTCAAAAAATTTCAGATTTTAAGTAAAATAATTTTGTCTTCTATGAAAAACTATTTTGACTTTTTTCCCCGAAATTGCAATTTCGGGATCCCAAAATAATTTTGTGTGCAAGTATAACCTGAACCAACTAATCTGTCTTTGAAAATTCAAGATTAATTAGGATAAGATCTTTTATATCATGTAATTATCTGATCAGATCATTTAAGTTAGTGGATAATTAATTTTCTATAAAATTAAAAGTATTTTTTTAAAAAAATAAATTAATACTGATTTTATCTTTATTTTTATATTTTATTATTATATATTTTATCATATATGTATTATTTTATTATTAATTATTATATATTTATTCTTTATTATATATAGTATTACAGTAGATCAATTTAATAATCTATAGTACAAATTAGATATTATTATTTAAATTAGTAAATTTCTAAATTCTTTTTAATCTGTAACACTAGAATACAAATTAGAGTACAAGCCAGAGTATGAATTAATATCTCAATTAAAGTACAAGTTAAATTAACAGTTAAGGTACCAGTTAGGATATTAATATAATTACTAGTGAAGTTTATAGTCAGATTACAAGTTAGCTTAGCAGTTAAAATCATAATATATAAAAAAGCTGAAAATTCTCTCAACTCAGTTTTCAGTTTATCCTAGTTTCAAGTTTTTAGTTAATTTTGTGAAATTCAATAGTTAATTAGTTAAGATTTATTAAGTAATAAAATTAATATTACAAAATCCTTTAAATTTCTTGTTTATTATATTCTTTTGATAATTAATAAACTGTTTGTTCCTATTAACAAGTCTTCATACCACTGTTAATAGTTAATACATCTCTTTCATAATTGATCGTACATAATTTCTTCTATGTATAAACCCTTATATTGTGATTATTTTATCTTGAAATTAATAATTCTTATCGTTATATTTAGTTTTGTTAATTAGTTTTAGTATTATTTTATCCTATTGTTTTTGTAAATTGTAGAAGGTTTACACAGATAACACTGTAATAAAATAATAATAAAATTTATTATATACTTATCTTTAGAATTATTAAATTTGAATGGAAATATTAAAGAATATTATTAAGCTTAATAAAGGTGATTATTACCACTTGACAAAATTATATAATTTTCTGATTAACCCCTAATCTTAACTTTGCCTATATAAATTTAATATTGTCTAGTAATAACAATCACTACCAGTGAATTTTAGTAATTTTCTATATAAAAACCAAGTTCTGAACTAGTTCTAAAACCAATTTTACAGGATCAGATCTAATTTGTCTTTGCTTTAAAACCAGATAATATATTTTTAGATATATATAATGGAAAAGTGATCTCAAGTACAACAAGTGCTTGAATTTAGTCTTGTAGTTATTAGGAATTTGGAGAAAATGAAAAAACTTATAATATTAAAAATACTAATTTATTCTATAAGATCAGAATAAAACAAGATTTCAGGATAAATTAGTAATAAAGCAAAATTAGAAAATTAAAAAAGAATAAGACAGTAGTAAATATAACAAAAGAAAAGAAATAATGACAAATAGTAACAAGAGAAAAAAAATAGAAATAAATAAAAAATACAGGTCAAATATAAAAGATATGCTGTACTAAAAAAGAATTCTAATTTTAGTTAATTTATAATATAGAATATAATAGGACAGTTGATTATTATCAATGTTTAGTTAATCTATAATATAGGAATTATCATTTGGTATAATGATTCTTTTGTATTTGACTAGTAAAATTAAAAAAATTTAAAGAAAAGTTTATATAAATTTAATAGATAGAAAGATAATTGAAAAATAAAAAAAGTGTAATTTTAATTAAATTACATAATCAAAATAAACAAGAAACAAAAAAATATAATTTATTTTAAAAATTAAAATTTAAGATTATACAATATTAATAATTTAATCAATCTTGGAAATAAAAAAAAATCAAAACAATAAAAAATATGATTATTTTATACTATAAAAATATTTAGAAGAATATAATAAGAAAATATTTTATTTAATAAGAAAATATTTATAAAAAAATAAAGAGATATCTTTATAGAATCTATTCTATATATGGAAATAAAAAAAATACTTAGTTAAGTATATCTTTAATTAAAAGATTTATCTGAATAATCAAAAAATTTTGAGTTTTATGTAAAAAAATTTTGTTTTTTATA